CCCCTGCTGCCCCCTCCTCTCCTTGCCCCATCTCCTCACTCCCTGTGCCCTCCACAGCACTGACACCACCATCAACATCGTTCCCACCATCTGCCCCGCCAGCCCCGCCAGCCCCGCCAGTCCCATCAGTCCCATGGGCGCCAGTCCACAGCGCCTCGGCCTCTGCTGCCACCTGCTCCTCTCCCCCACCACCGCTCTCCCCACCCTCACCACCACTGCTGCCGCCGTCACCACCGCCGCCGCCGCCGGCAGAAGCAGCAGCGGCTCTCACAGGGCGGGTGTGCGCCACAAGCGCGTCCCTGGCGCGCTGCTCCCTCTCCAGCCTCGCCCTCCACGCCCTCTCCCTCGCCTCCTGCCACTCCAACTCCTCCTTGCGCACTGCACTCCCACATGGGTGCATGCACACAGCAGACAGGCACACACGCACACAGGCACATATGCACTCACGCATGCACGCACACAGGCACACACACACATGCACACATGCACGCACACTCACATGCGCACATACGCACCCGAATGCACACACGCATGCACATGTGCACGCAATAAAAACCACACGGAGCAACAGCGGAGAGGTGTTGTGGAGGGGGTGTTGCAGATGTGTGCAGAAGTAGCATATTGCCAAAGGGAGTGAGTGGTATTCAATGGGGAATGAATGGGTGCGAGGGTGGATGAGTGAGTGCGTGTGAGTAGAAGACAGCAATGAGCACACGAGGAGGAGAAAGACTGGGACCATAACTTGAAAGAGGAGGGTTGGGAAGACAATGGCAACGAGCAGGAGGAGAAGAGAGGACATGAGAGGCACAGAGCAGGTAAGCACAAAAGAGTGAGGTGGCACTGTCATGACAATCGTAGTAGCCAAACTCGTTCCGACACAAGATCATCTGAGACGAATCTACAAGGTGACGATTCCGAGTCCATTGCATTGCAGGTGATGAGCAAACCAAGTTTCAGCTGAGCACATCCAGCTAGCACAGGCGATTGTATTCCTATGGAGGTAGGTAGCTAGCTGGCTGTTATGACACATGCAAGTAAGTCATTAATGGCAGTGACTGGTCTGCTCTCCCCATTGGCCGCTGCGCATTCTGAGCAGCAGGGTAGTGGCAGCGTTAGCAGCGACGGGCGATGGAAGCATTGGAGGCACTTGCAGCAGCACGGCCGTCACTGCAGCAGCTTTGAGCGCCGCCGCCCAGCGTGGTGGTGGTGGTGCTGGTGGTGCCTGCGACTGGCCATGAGGGTGGCAAGGCAGGGGCAGAGTGAGGCCATGGTGTGGTAGCACAGGCGCAGGCAGGCGCAGAGGGGGGCGAGCAGCAGCGCGCGCAGGGGGCGGTGGCAGAGGAGGAGGGCGAGCAGGGCGAGGAGCAGCAGCGATGGCGGCAGAGAGGCCGAGGCGACGAGCGAGTGGATGTGCTCTGCAAGACACGGTGGATGGTGGGGCGAGAAGCGTAGTGACGGTGCCGAGTCGGTGGCAAGACGGCAAGTGGGCGGCAGATTTGGTTGGCAGATGGAGGTGATGCAGGGAGGCAGGCGCGTTGAATAGCGAGAGACCAGCAAGAGATACACAGAGAAGGAAAAGAGACATGGTGTTGGGTTGCGGTGTGGGGTGGGGGCAATTGAGAAAATGGTGGGGAAGGAGTGGGCAGGGAAGGGCAGGCGGTCGGTACCATGCCAAGTGAAGCACGGTGCCATGTTTGTGTGACAGACACCACAGCACACATGCACGCGCGTGATGCATGCGAGCAGCAGCAGTGAGGAGAGCAGCGTGCGGTGGTGGAGGTGGAGGGTCACCTTTGAGCGCCTTCTCCTGCTCCACCAGCTGTGCGCGCCGCTCCTCCAGGTCCGTGACCTCGCGCTCCCACTTCTCCCGCATCGCCACGTGCCCCACCACCGCCTTGCCTCGCAGCTTCACGCCCTCCCTCACCGCCGCCACGTCAGCTGCCAGCTGGCTGCGCGTCTGGGCGCCCATCTGCACGCACGTGTTGTTGCAGCCCGCCCCACTGGCGTACTCGTCCGTCCCGTCACAGCAGTCTGATGGCCAGGGGGCAGGTGGGGAGACGGGCGCGAGAGAGGAACGGAGGAGCACGGAGGATGGGGGGTTTGAAGGCACAGCATTGGTGGCGTGTGAGGCGAATGGGAGAGGCAGAGACGGCGGTGGGTGCGGAAGGGCGCGATGGTGCACTCACTCACTTCTCATGCTCTTCATGCCAACACATGCTCCCCGTGCGTTGTGACAAGCAATCACCCGACACGGTATCCACCACACAAGGCATCACTGTACAGCGCATGCATGAGTGCAAGCACCACACTGACCGCAGATGCCGTCGTTGACGCGCGAGGAGAAGAGCGTGAGAGGCATGTGGCCGCGGTTGGCGCAGTAGAAGCGCGACAGCGCGCACGCTGACGTGCCTGGGGGGGACCAGGGTGCGGTGGACAGAAGGCAGCGTGGTGACGGGTGGACGGGGTTGGAACAGGGTAGGGAGGAGTTAAGGGAGGAGGCCAGAATGGACACGTGCGAAACCATGGTAACCTGGTAGCCCGAGCCCCCTCAGCAGCCCCAGTGGTGAGGAGGGTTGCAACGCACCCGGCTCGTCGGTGCCGTCAGCGCAGTCACAGAAGTCGTCGTTCACTCGCTGCACTGCTATTGACCGCGACCCGTCGCGACACTGCACCTCGCTGCCCGCGAAGTACGCCACGTCTGCCGCGCGTGACGCATGTGAGGCGCGTGTGAGGCGGGGCGCGGCAGGGCGGATGGGCGCACGGCAGGCGGACATGGAGAGGGAGCGAAAGGGCAGAAGCGGAGGGTGGGGGGAGTGGGGAGAGAAGAGATGAGCGGAGCGACAAGCGGGTGGAAAGGGCGGGGGTAAGGGAGGCGAGCGACAGGCGGGAACAGCGCCGGGCGGCTGACGAAGCCGCGATTCGCCTCTCCACTCCGTGCGATCCCCACTCATTCCGCCGCTTCGCTGTCGTTGCGGGCTAAACGGTTAAGTGGCTACACGGGTCTCGGCGCGCAGTGGGCGAGCGGACAGATGCGCGCGACGCAAGCTGCAGCGACATTCACGTTCAACTACGCCCGCGCTCGCTCGCTCGCTCGCTCGCGCACGCTCCTGCGGGCTGGACGGCAGCGTGCGCTGGACTTGTGAGTCATGTTGGGCCATGACCGCAGCGCGATGGGCTTGCCTTGCGGGGCGACGCCGCGAATTGACGGAGGAGCGGCCGCGAGCGAGTCAATTGCGAGACCCACCAATGCGACGACTGCGATCGCGAATGCTTGCGGGAAGCAGGCGAGGGACCTTCGCGATGCGCGAAGCAGTGCCATGGGGAACAATGTGAACAGCACCGCCGCGAATTGAGGCGGTCAGTATAAGCCTTGAAATGGAGATCGAGTTGGCAATCTGGTCGTGCTGCTGACCAGTCTGGCCTGCGCAGCTCTCAGAGCGGTGATGGGATCCTGGGTGAAACCTGGCAGGATGCGCGCGGAAAGCTCACGGGGCAGAGGCTGTTTGCGGGGGGATGGCAGTGGATGTGGTGTAGTGTGGTGGAAGCGGAATCGTCACCCAGACAGCTATGAGTAGTAACTCGTTCTTTTATCTCGCTGTACTCAGTGGTGCTGTTCGCCAGCAAATCGTTTTTTGAATTGAAAACGATGGCATCAGCATCGCGACCGCATATGGAAACGGGGGCGGAACCCTCCTCCGAGGTTTGGGCGAAATGCCGCCCGAGAAACTACGCGCGCCCGAAAGGCGAAATTTCGCAACCGCATCGGGAAGGTCCATCCCCACCTTCCCCCCAATGGCGCGAAATTTGCTCATCACCGACCCTTGTGCTGCCCGCTGTGCAAAATTTGCTCAACGTGGGTAAAAATCGCAAATAAAACCAAGTTATGTGCGGGGGGAATCTAGAAGGTGTGTTTGGGATGGAAAAATGGGGGGTATACGAACCTCCCTTTGTCAAACTGCAGGCTTGTGCGAGGGTTCCCCTGAACAGCAATGCGTCCGCTGTGCCACCGCTGTGCCACCGCTATGATTCGGAAAATGCGGCATGACGATGGCATTGCAAGGGGATGGTGTTTTGCCTGGGGAGGAAGTTTCGTCCCCGCTTCCATATGCCGTCGAAGCGTTAAAATTGGTGTACAAAAGTGGGCGTTCGCCAGACGCCCAGTTTGTTAATTGGTTTGGACGGTAGGTGAGGCTCGGCACATTTTTCACGGGCTGACCAAGCTGACGGAGGTTAACGAACGCTGACTGACGGGATCAGGAAGGCGAGACCCACCTTCCTGATCCCGTCGTTATCCCGTCGTTTTTATGAGGATGTAATGGTGCCGGCGAACAGCCCCAGTATTCGCGTACAAATACATTCATCTGCACCCTCCTGATCCGTTCCCAACGGTCAACTTTTAGCACGCCCAATCATTTGGAATATATACTGCCTTGCCTGCGTGAGCAGATTGCGCAAGAATCTCCTCCCATCTAGCCACAAAGCATTGCTGCTGCCTCAGTCCTCATCACCTTTTCTTTTCAAAGGTTTTTGCTCGCTTGTAATTTGTCCTCAGCCCTCGGCAAATCTACTCCACCCTTCCTGAAAGCGATGGCCTCCTCGGCCCAAACTGCCCGCCAGTTAGGCAACGAAGCTAGTCAAACCCTAAGCCACCTATGCAGGTTCCCCTTATACGACTCAGCCTCGTTTCTAGGTAAGTTTACGCTATCGTTTCTCTTTTTTACAGCTCTCGTTTTCACGTCGCTACACCCCACCTTGGCTCTACACCAGCAGGATATTCCCCCACTCCCCGTCCCTTTCTATCATTTGCCACCTATTGGCCACTCCTCCCCACAACGGATCACTGGCGGACTCCCTCTCTCCCTCAACGTTCCACGTCAACTCTCCCTCCAGGTAAGTGTAGCCTTCCCCTTTTCTTTTTCCCCCGTAGCATCGCGCGCTCACTGCAACTTTCAGCTCCAACCTCAGCGCCAGCTAACCCCAACTCCCCCCCCCCTTTTTTGTGTGCACTCATCCAATCTCACTCCACTCCCTCGCCTCAGCCCCGTCCCTTCCTAGGAAGTTCGGCTGCGTTTCGTCCAAACCCCCACCAACAGATTGGCCTCCTCCTGCCAAGCTGGCCTGTGCTGCAGCGAGCACCAAGGACTCTCTCGACAAACCCCAGTCGCCGAACACAGTTAACCCCCAACCTCCTCCCGTTTTTCTGGTCGCCTTCACTACTACCTTCGTTCCGCCTTTTTCTCCTACGTGTTATCTCATCCTTTCTCCGTATTTCCATGCCTGCCCAAGCGCCAACAATCCCGGACTTCCCGTCCCCCCTGGCGATTTTGCTGCCAATGTCCCGCATTTCACTCATTTACCGCCTCCGGCAGAGCCCACTACATGGCTCAGAAACTCGGCGCGCCGTCTAGGCCACCTGTTTCGTTTCCCGCGCGCAAGCGCTCGGACCCTCGAACGGTCCCGGGTTTCGGGCTGCCAACTAAGCACCCACTCCCGCCTCTGGCCCTCAATTTACTCGCCATGTCTCCACGCTTCCCGCTGCCTAATCGCTGCCCATGCGACCCCCGGTATTCTCCCTCCCATCCGCCCTTCCCCCAACCCTCCCCAACGAGCTCCCATCAGAGCCTCGCATCCACAGCCTCACGTCCGTCCGCTTCCGCCTTGCCTCTGCCTCCCCTCCGTCGGGACGCTCCCTCGCATGCGCTCCCTCGTTCTCGTCTTATTTAACTCACCTCAACCTTCGTCATTCACTCACTTCTCGTCTCCCAATTCCCTACGACTCCTCCACAATTTCTACATTATGTCTGAGCAGGTTTCCAAGCCCGATTTCACGATGTTCGCCGCCGAAGAGGAAACTCTCGCCGAGTCTGGAGAGGATCTCTTGGTCGACTACCTTCACGAAGGGCTCATGCACGACGCCGCGAGCTCCCCCGACCATCCTGCTGCGAAGAAGCCCTGCATGGACTCTGGTGCTGGCCTTGCTAACTTCAACTCCCCCTCCGCCTCCTCCGATTCGATGTTGGCGCAGCCAGCGCAGTCTCCTGTGCTCCCCGCTGCTGCTGCTGCTGCTGCTGCCCTCGCCACCTCTGCAAAGCCCCGCGCCCTCTCTGGCAGCAACTCTGCCGCCCCCAACGCCCTGGCCATTCGCGCCGCTGCCTACGCGGCTGTTGCCTCCGCTGCTAACCCGGCCCCCGCGCTGCCCGTCTCGCTTTTTGCCTCCTCCGCACCGGACGTGTTAAACTGTATTATGCTTGTAGGCTGTAGTGGGGTAGCCAATATGGGGTACAACCCCAACTAGGGTTTCATATTTGTACCCAAACTCCTGTTAGTTCATTCATTCTTGCCTAGTGATTCTGATATGGTATCAGAGCAGGTCGACCCTCCTGGGTCGATCCTGTGGGTGGGCCCACCACCTAAGCCTTCCGCTGCTACTGCTACTGCTACTCCCTGTCCGCCGCGCGCCCCGTGGCGCGCGGCGTCGAAACTAGGGTTTTCAGCCCGCCGTGCGCCCCGAGGCACGCGGCGGTTTTCTGCCCGCCGTGCGCCCCGAGGCGCGCGGCGGTTCTCTGCCCGCCGTGTGCCCCGAGGCGCGCGGCGGGTTCCTGCCCCGTCACTCGGCACGTCGCCCCCGGGAGGCGCTGCGACGGGCGACGGGGACCCGCGCGTCGCCCCCCGTCGCCCGTCGTGGCCTGCGCGCGGCCCGTACACCCGGCACGCGGCCCGTACGGGCTGCGCCAGGCCCGCGCGCGGCCCGTACGGGCTGCGCCAGGCCCGCGCGCGGCCCGTACGGGCTGCGCCAGGCCCGCGCGCGGCCCGTACGGGCTGCGCCAGGCACGCGCGCGGCCCGTACGGGCTGCGCCAGGCCCGCTAGCGGCTCGGACCGCCTGCGCGCGGTTCGGGAGGCGGTGCCAGGCCCGTGGGCGGCCCGTTCTTCGCTGCCCCTGTCCTCCCCGCTGTCCCCCGTGCTTCTGAAGGCGCCCCACCCCTCCTTCTGCCCGTTCTCCTGGATTAGGGTTTGGGGTTGGGGGGTATGGGGGTGCAGCTTCTGTGTGCCGTTCCCTGCTCCTCCTCCTCCTCCGTCTCCCTGTGCTGCAGCTGCCGCTGAGGGGGGTGGACCTGTTGGAGCCGTCGGAGTGGTACTAAGGGGGGGGTGAAGGGGGAGTGGAGCTAGCGGTGTAGCAGCGGGTGTGTGTCGAGAGGGGCGTGGGACAGTCGGGGGAGGTTGCGTGGAGGTAGCCGTCGTGACGCCAGCAGCGCCAGTAGTCCGGATGCCCTCGCGCGTTTCGGTAGCCCAGCGAGCCTGCTTCGCCAGTCGCCTGTGGGTCCGTTGCTCCTGTGTGTGCTCGTCGTAGCCGCGGAGCCAGATACTCCCGTAGTCCGGTGCCCTCGTGCGCTCGGTAGCCACTGTGCGCGCCGCTCCTGTTGCCCGTGTGTCTGCAGCTTCAGTCGGCGCCTTTCATCTTCTCGCCCTCACAGTTTCTCCTCCTCCTCACTTGCCCTCTATGATCACCTCTAGCTTTGCTTATAATTGTGAACTATTGCTATGCCTGCTCATTGTACTGATTACACCCCACTTTGGCTATGGGGGTGTGTCAGAATGTTATTATTGTCTAGCCTGTAGTGGGGTGCTCTATAGCGAGTACAACCCAGTTAGGGTTTGCTATATGTACCCCAACTGCTGCTAGTGAAACCCCTCTCCTTTCAATCATTCTTGCCTAGTGATTCTAATACTCAGGTCCACCGCCGAACTCCAGGGCGGTGTCACGCGTGTTGGCGAGGTAGGCGAGGCAGCGGTCGACCTCGCGCCAGTGCTGGTCGCTCCTCACCGTGAGGCCGCTCCCCAGCTTGCTGCAGGCAAAGGCGATGTCCGGCCTCGTCGTCGTCGCCGCGAACTGCAGCGAGCCGACCTTCTGCCTGCTATGGTGCTCAATTTCTCCTGCCACGTGTGCTCGCTGTGCGGTAACAACCATTGTGCATCGGACCCTGAGTTTTTGTTGTTCGCCGCCACGGACGCCTCACGAACAAGAACACGATCTCGATTGCTCAGCTGCAGCAGGCAAACGGTACGAAATCTTTTGATCGTTTTTCAGCCGTAAGCACCCTCCTTTTCTGTTGTCATTGCACGCCCTTAGCCTGCACTCGATGTCCTCTCGTTTGCTTCCCTGTTGACCCCCATCCCATCACCACTTCCCCCTCGATCTACCCTTTCTCTACCTGCAACCTCACTATTTCCCTCTAACCCCCGCGCTCACCCCCTGCTGCCCCTCTCTCCCTAGGAGCCCCCCTCCCCCACTGCCTTGTTGCTCCCCCCCCCCGTACGGCCGTCTGTGTCTCTGTCAATCCCATATTCAATCTGCCCCTACCCACTCCCCTCGCTCCTCCCACCCCTCTCCCCGCACCAGCTGCCCCCCGAAGGGCGCGCGCAGGGCAGCGCGCACCGGGTAGGGTAGCGCGGGAGCGCGCAGGGCAGCGTGACAGTGCGGGGCAGGGCAGCATGACAGTGCAGGGCAGGGCAGCGCGATATCGCACAGGGCAGCACGTCAGCGCGGGGTAGGGCAGGACGCGGCCTGTGAAGGGGCAGCGCGACAGCGCGGGGCAGGGCAGCGCGCGGTGCAGGGCAGTGCGCAGTGCAGGGCAGCGCACGGGGCAGCGCGCGGGGTAGGGAAGGGTAGGGCAGGGTGCGGCCTGCTAACGGGCTGGGCATAACCTGCTAACTAAGCTAGAAACGTAGCTAGCTTTGATACCATGTCATAAGTGAACAACGGAATGGTGAATGACTAGCAAGGTTAGGATACAAGTAGGAAACCCTAATGTGTTGTACCCTTTAGTATGTGCACCACCATAGCCTAGCATGCATATTTGCAGTTTGACTACGTGTGGGATTGCTACTCAGCCATAAACTATGGCTAGAGGGCGGCACGATAGCAAGAGTCAAGGGTGCGCAAATGGGTTATGAGATCAGCTACAATGGTAAAGTCAGGTAGCTCAGGGAAGACAAACGGCAGCGTAAGACGACCTAGGGTGGCAGAAGAGGGGGAGGAGTAGTGCTTAATCACAACATCATATAGAGCTTGGGCCGACTTCAACTGCTGAAAGTGGGCCCTCTGGAAGGGCGAGAGGTGAGCGCGGACAGCAAGCTGGGCAATGGCATTGCATGCCATCCACTACATGTAGACAATGTGGTTAGCCCTATACGGTTGCTGCACTGCCTCCGTAGCGGTATCAACAGGCTCAACCGAAGTCTTGGGGGCCGTAAAGGACCCCAACATTTGCTCAAACAATCAGACATTGTCCTTGGTAGTACTATGCAGGTACAAGTGAATGCCCTCTAGCCAAGATTTGAATTCAATCGGGCGCCCCTCAGCGTCAAACGCGAACACAGTAATCGTCGCCATGGCAGAAACCAGGTCAAGTGGTAGCACTGAGAACAAGGCGGTTGCACTGAGGACCAGCTGCAGTTCCAGGCACGGGCGGCGACTCAGGATGCAACAGAACAACTAGGGGCACGGTAGTAGGGTTGCTTAGCAGCAAGCAGGGGGGTAGTGTGGTGCGGCTCGGCGGTAGGGAGGGCGGCAGGGCAGCCGCGGCGTGACAGCAGGCGACTCGGCTCAGGAGCGGTGCGGCAGCTAGCAGCAGCGGGCGGTTCACAAGCTAGACGCTGGCGGCAGCAGCGAGTGTAGCAGCGTACAGCGCAGGAGCGAGAGCGGCAACGCGAAGGTTCCGAGGGTCGCGAAGCATCCCGAACAGACCCTTCCCGAATTCGGTAGAAGGCAATTCGGTGGCAACCGAATAGCCTAGAATTCGGTGTACGCAACCTAGCTCGGTGCTATAACTATAATAAAATATAGGAAAGCACCTAGCCTAGGAAATCAAGCAATTCATGCATGCATAAAATAAACCTAAGCTAGCAATAGCGCAATAAAGTAAAAGCAAGCATGCATAACTGTCATAGCCGTCGTACTCTCACAAAGTGTTAACAGGGGCCCTAGGCGGGCAGGAGTTGGGAAGTATTAGATCCTTTACTACTAGACCATGTAATAGTATTGTTGTTGAATGTTTCCCAACACTAAACATCTTTTAGGTAGGAACACTCTATAAAATTATGAATGCACACAGAGTTTATCTTGTTTCGCATTATTATTTCTTCTTCATTGATAGTCACCCACACTCCCATCCCTTCTTTTTCTTTTTCTTTCTTTTTCTTTTTTTTTTCTTTTTCTTTTTCTTCTTTTTCTTCTTTTTTTTTCTTTTTATATTGGCAACCGTCTTTCTTCTTTCAAGTTTGCCACGAACAGTGTGGTGTTTGTGCAAATAGTAAAACATTAGTTTGTCCATGAGGTCCTTAAAGACCCCCCATGAGAAATAAGGTTAGCCACAAACCAAACATGTTCCAAGTTCATAGCCAAATGATGTTAGGCAACGTTCTAGCTGAATACGTTCGCTGCTACAATCTCATGTCATGTGTACCATGGTAGACATAAAAGGGCGGCTTCTGGAGGCCACTTTGGTTACGACAAGGCAGCAACTCCATTATAAGGAGGCCGTGTTGCCGAATCTACTAGTCCCAAGAGCCGCGATGTTCTTAACGAGCCGACTACAAAGCATGGGGAACGCATCGTTATATTGCAGGCACTAGAAGCCGCGATTGCCACAACAATGCGCTTGCAGATTATGGCAACCGAGACATTGTAGCTGCTTGGCGGTGAGGTCGTGATAGTTGGTGGCAGGCCCCAGAAGGTTTCGAAAATTATAACGGGACGACTCCATAGGAAGAACGTTCTCTTGTGCACCCCAACCCATTTTCACACAAGTGTGGACGTATATTGATGCCATAGCTACAAAATCATGATTGTTGCAATATGTAGCGACACTATCCTGCCCTCAATAACCTGTGAGCGTCGTAACATGCAACTGAAATACAATCCCGATCTATGGTGCCTTGGGCTCTGCAAAGATTTACCACTCTACCAATAGAGCTCTCAATAGAAATGCTACTTCTTGATGGAGAGCTCCGTAAATTTGACAGCTCGTTAAAACCGAAAGCTAGAATAGTGAACTCCGTCCCAACTTGACAGAGTGTTGCAGAGCGAAAACGACATTGGGCTGATAGAACATTGTTTTAAACCTTCCGTGTTGCATATTAAACTCATTTGATTGGCTTAAACGAAAAATGTTGCATATTACACAATGAGTTGCCGTCAACGTGGTGCACCCGCACGACAGCTGTACGGCGATCGTTTCGATCGGTGGGGCCAAATTCAACTTTAAGTTGGGTTTGGGTTACATGACTACTTTATACTCTAGAAGTTTCTTGTTTAACCTTTCATGAGGAGGAGGAGGAGGAGGAGGAG